TCAACGGGCTTGCAGTAGGTACAGGAGTCAGCTCACGTCGTTGACGCCCCATTCATGCCAATCAACAAATAAGGCGGGGCTTATCGTGCCTACAGATATGCGAAAATGAAAGAAAAGAACTTAGCACTGTGCGCAAAACAGCGTGTTATATTCGTATTTGTGCCAAACTCTATCGTATGAAACCGTTCTAGCCTAGCAGAATGCCCTAGTTCCTGAGATCGGCGATTCCGTGTCCGAATGGTATTGTACTCACAAATTTTGATCATAAAGGGGCGGCGTGGACTGTGATTGGAAGACACAAAGTGTCAATCCTCGGCGAGCGCCTCGGGATCATGGCCGCGTTTCGTCTAGCAACTGCAACACATGTTTGTAGTTATCTGCCAGCTGACTGACTGCTTTCCTCCGCTATTTAGCGGAGGCATAGCAGAGCGTTTGTAAAACAGGAGTTGTCCGTTCGCTAAGCTCTCCGTTATGCCTCCGTTCGCTAAAGAGCGAACGGAGAACTTAGCGGAGAACTTTAGCGGACGTTAGTGAAACGCGCCCCCGCTTTCTTACCCCTCTTTCTCTCCCTTCTTTCTCGGCCTCTCCGCTCTCACTCTCTCTCCCAAATATTTTGCATAATTTTCAGGCTAAAATCAGTGTTCGCGCATGCGTAATATCTCTCGAGAGGAATCATATTTCGCGAAAATTATTTAATTAAAATGGAAGGGGGGGTATCGGGGAAGAGACTGGTCATTAATGTGGCCGCGTCAGATACTTGTGGATACAGTCTGTTGGCTGACCAATACCGAAACCTGGTTTACCTAAATTATATCTTAATTAACCTAATATTTTAACACGACTGTACCAAATCTTTTTTTCCTATTTTTACTTAAATGTTATCTAAATTATACCTGCTTTCATGGACTGGTATTTGTATCACGATTATGCTAACATTTTATGCTCTTTGTGTCAAGATTTCATGCTAATAATAATTATGATTTGATGCCAGCAGTTATTATGTTATGTTAAGTTGGAATGTTAGATTGTGTTAGAATGTTATCTCTATTAATTGCTCATAATTCGATCTCTTGCCAATTTCTTAATTTGAAGCATAGCGTTACAATATCTATACAGGAATATCAGCCTAGTTGTGGCAGAATGTTGTTCAACTTGAATCCTGGCAGGGTAAAAATAATAGTATTCCCACGTTGTGCTCATAGCGTATGCATGTATTCCGTTATCGCCTGACTAACGCGCCACCTATGGCGTTATTCATTTCTGGTCTGACATATCGATTTGCACGATCGCTGCTAGTCTTCTACCGTAATTACTAACCATAGGTAATAACGGATTTGTCCACACAAAAAACAATTCTGCCAAAAGAAATTTCTGTAAAGTATATATATATAAATTTAGCACACGCACGAATAATAATTCACGCAATGACACACAACAAAATAATGCTCGCTATCAACAACAGCAAACTAATGCACCACCAGCACGCCGCCAAGGCTACAGCCACAGCAACCGCAGCGTTTTTCTTCGAATTTTACGCCAAGCGCTACAAGCGAGCAACCACAAATTATTCACCACGTATGCCTACGCGACAATATCCAACACCTACACGTAACGCATTAATTACACCCAGAGCAAACACACAATATATATTTACACACCGGACGGTTCTCCGAGTTGTTCTTTATGTGGTCAGAGTGAACACATTTGGTACCAATGTTATATGCAACAGCGCACTAGTAATGATAATTATGCAAATACTAATAACCAACAGGTAAATGCTCGCGCTGCTTTCAGACACCAGAGACGTTGAAGGTAGCGACAATTTTAAAGTCTCATAATAGCATTTTTCCAATAACGCACGACACAAATAACAAAACGACGCCATCTTGTTTAATTTTAGTGGGTAAGATTAGAATAAATGCATTATTGGATAGTGGAGCAGCAGTGAGTTTAATTAATTATCAGTTATGGCGGCAGTTAGAAGTATTATATCTAGATTCATTCGTCGCAGGATCCACACAAATCTTACGGTCTGCTTCTGGAGACGATCTGTATGTAATAGGTAAAGTCACACTGACAGTTAGAATAGCTCATTATGAGATTTCTCATTTATTTTATATAGTTAAAAATTTAGAACATAGGATGATTTTAGATTGTGATTTTTTCAACGCGCATGGGGTTAAGTTAGATATTATGCGTGGGTTGCTAAACATTAGAAATAGTATCGTTGAAATAGTTAGTTATAAACCTCTGACATGTAGACGTATAGAGTTGATACGAGCAGTTACGCTGCCAGCCAGAACGGCGCGCCATTGTTCAGCTAAGTATAGTGATTCTTCGTTACGAGTGCAGGGGCGAGGCGCAGATGTCTTATTGTATAATCAAGGCAGTAACCCCCTGCACTTATAAACTGGATCTACTATTTAACTAACCACTTTCACACGGTTTCAGGCGTCTAAACGGCCAGGTAATCCACGCATTGTCCGAACTTCGCCGCGGCTAAGTGTTGACAGTCGCAGATTTCGAGCAGCTAATTATCTCGCGCATAATAATATTATTTCTATTCAAGCGGGCAGGCAGTTGGGTATCCCAAAACTAACAACAATTATTCCCACGATTCCAGGGGTTAGGTCCACTACTTGGCGTCAAGGTTCTATACAAGTAGGCAGACAGCTAGACGCGCGAAGGCAGACAACAAACAATCCCGCGTCGCCACGTGCTGCTAAAATTAGCAGTTCTACTAATTATCGTCAATGTTCTCGTCCTAACTACGTCACACCTAACCGTCGCACATCTAGGTCGCAGCGTCAGCTGTCTATTGTATGTGCTAATAGCGGTCAAAGTGGTAAGCCTTGCCCTAATTACGGCAAAGAGGGGGTTGTGCCAAGGCGCAGGGCGTCTATTGTTACGGCAATTGGTAGGCAACCTGGTAATTACGATCGTGTTTTGAAACCTTTAGTGGACATTACTAAGACAGCAAATAATCCTGTTGTTTCTAGGATACGTACTAAAGCGACTAAGCTTGTCGGCCATTTTGACGTAGACACAGCAAAAACCAGTTTTCTGAAGCGACCAACCCAGCTGGCTGATGTAAACAATGGAAGAGATCCCGCGATAGCGAGCCCGTCTGTCGCCACGAATACACGGCGTAAACACACTGAACTCTTGACTAATAAGTCTATTTTATTAACAGATCATGGAAAAGTCATTAATAAATCATGGGATGATGACTATACGGATGTGGGCATGCAAGGGCGCAGTGCGTTTGTAAAGTCGCCACAAGCTGGGGAACGACCTAATAAAGACACGCGTGTTGTAATAAAAGTAGAGAAAATTTCTACGACATCAACTACTAATGATAGTGGTAATAATAACAATATTTTTTTTAAACTAGGAACGACACAGCATACTGAGGGCGGCTATAGTGACACGGACATACAGAAAACTAGCTGTTTCAACACAGCACGCCAGGCGTGTAGCGAAAACAAAACTGGTTTGGAGAAGCGAGCTGCCAGCATACACAATAGCGCAGTTACTGCGCTTCCACTCGTGTGTCAAGGCAGCGAGTATGCAGCTAATATACATGCATGTTCTGTTACAGAGAAGCCGGTATTAAATTAATCTACTTTTTAACAGGTAACCGGGAACCCCACGATAACGTAAATTTTATAACAATGCCTAGACATTTGCGTGCATATACAGCTCATGTAGACAACGCGTGCCAACCACAGCCCATTGTGTCTATACACGCTGCTGCTAGCCGGCCAGCGGCCGCCCGCCATCTTGAAGAAGCGAAAACCAGTTTGGTGGCATTAGTAGCTGGTAGTGAAGACAAAGGGGGCGCTGAGCTCCAGTCAGCTAGACACGCACCCGTAAATAAAGCGAATGTGCACGCTGAGACAGATACAGCCACAGCGCAGCAGTTAATTATATCGTCTGTTAATTTACAGCATTTAAGCGGCAATCAACATACAGCGATACACGACATCGTTACTAGGAATTACACCTTATTTGCTACAAGCGATAACAAATTGTCACATACACATTTAGTGCGAATGAGAATTAACACACAAACCCATAAGCCCATTTCACAACTGCCATTCAGAACACTATATTTACATAGGAAAGCTTTACAGACGCATATAGATACATTACTTTAAGCGGGTATTATATCAGAAGCTTCTAGGGAATAGAGTTTCCCCGTCTTCATAGTTAAGAAGAAAGACTAGTTTCTAGGTAGAATGGTTGTAGACTATCGCGCCCTCAACAATGTGACAGAGGCAATAATTTACCCTTTGCCAAGAATCGATGATATATTAGCGTTGTTGGCTAACGCACAGTACTTTACCACGTTAGATTTGAAGAGCAGATATTTTCAGATACCTGTGCATCCAGAAGATCAACATAAGAGTGCTATAATTACGCATACAGCTACATATGTCTATCATTACGTTCCCTTCGGACTCCGAAATTTGCCGAGTGTGTTTCAACAGCTTTTAAATAACGTTTTACAGGGGCTTACGGATAAGTGTGCAATCCCGTACATCGATGATATTGTCATATACTCACCAACATTTGACCAGCATCTTTTGGATGTACAAACTGTATTTGAACGCCTGCGCCAAGCAGGGTTGACACTGAATCCATGTAAATGTGTCTTTCTCAAACAGTCTGTTAGTTACCTGGGGCACATTATTTCCAGGACCGGCGTGGCGCCCGACCCACGTAAGATAGCCGCCATTCAATAGATAAAGGAGCCTAGGACAGTCAAACAGACACGTGGCTTCCTCGGCATGGCAAATTATTGTAGGTCACATGTAAAAGATTTTGCAAAAGTCGCCGCTCTAGTTAATCTCACCAAAAAACACACCCGTTTTTTGTGAAATAACGAAACACAGTGTGCTTTTGACGCATTAAAAAAGGCGTTACTCACTGCGCCAATTCTCGCCTATCCCCAAATTAATAAAACTTATTTTTTGTACACAGATGCTAGCGCATATGCCGTCGGAGCAGTGTTGTCGCAGAAAGATTCACAGGGTAGAAAAGTTTTCATTTTATATTTAAGTGCTAAATTAACACCCATACAGTTGAAATGGCCAGTAATTAAACGAGCGGCATTTGAAATAATTTACGCCTTACAGAAGAGTCGTCATTTTCTAGCTGGGAGTAAGTTTACAATATTTTGCGATCATCTACCTCTGAAATTTCTATTAACATCGCCAAAGCTGCAAAAACCCCAAGCTATTAAGATGGGCGATAATAATTAGCGAGTATTCACCAACCATTATTTACCGAACAGGCAAGTCGAATGCAAATGCGGATTATTGTCGAGATTGACTACTGAGTAGGGAACAGACGACGTCGTAGACACGCACGCCACGGAAATCGACCAGCCAGAACCGAAGGAATCCGTTTCTACACATATCCGGAGTGTGAAAGTAATGGCATCGCAGCTGATAGACCACCGTACGTAAACGTCATCTGTCGACACAGAAGACAGTAAGGGTAGTTATCCAGTTATGACAAACAATACACACCTGACGCCCACAGCGCCACCTGTCGCCACATAATGCAGATGGTGCCTATCGGAATAACCAAGACGAAATACGACCGTCGCTCGCAGCGCCATCTACAGGTGAAGAATGCTGCAATGACACAACTAAATGCGTAATGAACATTACAACACCACAAGACGAATCAGCTTTGTCTACGGATCCCATTCCACACAATACCAGCCAGCAAACAACAGTGCTGCTATCTCTAGCTGAGATATTGGAACAACAGTGCAATGATTCTTTATTGTACAAGATACGTGTAGCAGTGACATCTCCTAATGCTACAATTAAGGATTTAAACATGCTTACTAATTATATGATTTCTGACGATTTATTACAGCACATAACGGAGCCGACAGCAACCACGGAACCCAGCGTCCAACTAGTTGTGCCACAGCAGTATCAGACAGTTATAACTGCGTATCATCACGATAATGTGTATAGTGCACACTTAGGCTTCGCTAAAACATACGCTAAGATTAAAGAGAGATATTTTTGGCCGAAAATGTATTTAACCATTAACGATTATGTACGTAGTTGTATTATTTGTAAATATCGCAATCTAACATACATGTACGCTCACCTTTAGCAGCCCTTGCCTCCAAGCCCGCGGCGCCGTTTGAAATGTTAGCTGTGGATACATGTCAGTTTCCCACAACATCTCGCGGAAACCGGTACGTAATTCACTTTCACAATTTGTATACCTCGTGGCCGGAAGTTTTTGCGACGCAGGATAAATCGGCGAAACAGTGGCTAACCTGTCTATCAACGAGATAATTCCTAGACATTCATGTCGCAGATCTTGCTTTCGGACAATGGCACGGAATTTTGCAATAAGATTATAGACAAGTTACAAAGTATTTCCAGATTAAAGCAGTCAATGCGCCCCGTATTATCCCGCCTCGAATGGCGCAAACAAGCGTTTTCACAGGGTTCTTAACACGATGATTTCGCACTACGTAAACGCCACCCAAACATCGTGCGACCTATTATATCCACCTTTATTATCAGCATCCGATCGCAATTCATAGTACTTCCCATCCTAGTCCGTTCTTCTTACTGTACGACCGATCACCTGTTTTGCCAATGGATAATTTGTTACTACCGTGAAGAAAATCTTATGACGAGGACCTGATTTCGCAAGCACTGAGAGGTTCCATCACGTGTATCGCACATGCGGACGGCAACACAAGAGATGAGAAGCCATAACAAGAAGCTCTACGACAAAAGCGAAGGCTTCAGGAATTCAAGGTTGGAGATCCCGTATTCTACCATGATCCAGTACTAAAGCCTGAGACATCACACAAGTACATAGCCGTGGAAAGCGTTCTATACGGTAAATAAAATAATATCACCTAAAAAAATTAGAGTGACATACATAAGAGACCACGCATCGCCAGGTCACCTCACATTTGGATAACATGCGTGCTGCTTATCCGTGATTACGATGGAGCAACCACGAAGTGAGGTTACGACCAGAACCACAAATAAAGCCACTACTAAAGCCACAACTGAAGTCACAAATGAAGCCACAAATAAGCCACAAATGAAGCCACAAATGAAACCAGCAAGGAAGCCACTCTATGGAGCACGCATCTCAAGGGCTACGAGAAAGCAGCCACTGCGACAGGCAACGCTGGCCTATCCTACGATGAGCGACACTTACATACACAGTGAGGAGTCTGATTCGGATGATGAAGCCATTCAGCCAAGACAAAGGTCTCTTCCGAGAGTAGCTATAGCGATAGCGATCTCTTACCGTTAGCAAGGTTAGTACCAGCGCCGTTGCATGAACGATCTACTTCACCGCCACTCGGAGGCCTCTGATCAAGAACTTCACGGTAGGAAAGAAGCCAAGCAACAACCGACAAACAATGACGCCAACAGGACCCGGGCCTGAAACGTCAGTGACAACCACGCTACACATAATGAGATTTTACGCACATGGCACACAAGATAGCTTCATTAACAATAAGGTGGTATAATTAAATAACTTAATTGGCTACAATGTTTACAGGTATTAGGTGAAGGAGCATTAAAGCACAAGCAGTCATTTCACCTAATAACATGGCGTATAACTGCTACAATATACTGTGTTAGTTAAACACCCCAAACTTCTAATAACCGTTGTTTTTCAGTCGCGCGCCAGAGCGAGGGGAAGTTGTTTGACATCGCGCTAAGTATAAGCAGACGTCAGCTAAATAATCTTTAATTTTATTACAGGTATGGACCGTGTGTTGCTACTCTGGTTCTCGCAGTGACGTTAATAAGAGGAGAAGTGTTTGTACCTAAAGGAACGCTCGCAATAACTCAGAGTAGCTGGGAAATAATATTTACGCTAGACTTATCGCCTGTGAAGAATTATATGATGGGGATTGATAAGCAGATTAAATATTTATTCAATCAACGCACGGAACGTTCACCTCCCGCCGCTGCCCCCTATTAACAGTGATAGTACTCGCATCTTAACAGGAAACTTATTTAGAGGGGTAATTAGAAAATGGCTACATCCAAATGTAACAACAACAACACAGACACACCGAACAACACGGCACAAATACAACATCAACAACAGATCGATGACAACAACGAACAATTCCGTGAGATAATCGAAGTCTTCATTAAGAAACATGCAGCTGATTTTAGAACACGCTATCACCGTCTATCCGAGCGCATTGAGGGATTAACGTCTATGTTTTCTACTACGAGACATCGCTTCAAGCGATCATTGTTACCGTTTATAGGCCGTTTTCAAAAAGCATTGTATGAAGTAGCGACGGAGGATGATTTAAACGACTTGCAAGCTAAATTATCTGACTTCGAAATTACGCAAGAGGCATTTCAACATGCCATAGAACATTCATTGACTGTTTTTAATCTAACAAAAACACAAGTTAAGTTGAATCATGATACCTTAAACGAACTTATAGATGGGGTTGAAACTATGCGAAATTTTGTCAATAGTATAAATAATCAACTGCTAACCTTAACGATTACGCTTAATACTAGGACTGCGGCCATAGTTAGACTACATATCACTATTAAGACACCATTTTGTATTACTATAGTTTATTACAAACCATAGTTATACCAGTGCAGAATTCTTTCCATATACTTATGTTTTTGCCTCTTAAACATGTCGGACAGATTTTTACCATTTTTCAAATTTTGCCAGCACCTTAATATATTAATGGCACCCAGGCACATGTGTATTATGTGTTAGATAAAGAATACATTGCGTTCGCTCAAGATGAAACACGTTATTTCTATCTTAAGTCAAATTTAGTACGCAAGTGCCTTCACGAAACGCTATAACATATGCCAAGCAAAATCTGAAATTATTATGTTAGAGGGTCGAAAGATTGCTTATTGCATCTTTTTAAGCCAGGCTGATTATATCCAAACCTATTGTCGGCGGAGGGTCAAGTTTCTTCCAACCCTAAGCATATAGTTATGTATATTGGTAATGGCCACTGGCTTTTGTCACCAAACAAAGTCATTCGTTTAACTGTTTCATGTCAGACAACCAATGACTGGGCCCCTAGTATTACGGACATAGAAATAGCGTCACGCCAACTTCAATCGAGTATCGCTTCAATCGTGATGTAGTGCTCATTCTGCAGATCTTACCTTGCCAACATTTTATTTCCATGACTCGTCTGTAAATCTCACAAAATTTAGCGGACATCTTACCTAAAGCGCCCCATACACCTACAATATGGGCTGACCTAGCGCAATTAGCTGTGAAAATGGGTAATGCGACAGACCTCATACCGCAATCGATTGTTCCCCATAGACTCTATAAATCTCACGATTTGGATATAGCATATGATCATCTTAAGGATGTCATAGCTAATAGTAAAAAGATTCTTGATACGCAATGAAGCAGCTCAGAAAACTTTCAAAGTGCACACATACAGTGGCATCAATAGTTACTATGTTGCCATCGCTGTAATAGCAATTGTTGTGTTATATTGCTGCTGCGCGCTCCCCACATCTTCGTCATTGCCTGTGCCAGTCATTCACCGGTACCACAGCTACCCACACCATTCTCCAACCCACTGTTCAATCCCTCTTGCAACCCGTTAATGCAACCGCTCCCTTTACTTTACTTTGTTCCGCAGCGTTTGTATCCCGACAGTGCAACATGAAGAAATTGAGAATGAAATGCTTCACAGAGTACGCGCTCATCCGCTGGAGAGTGTTGATAATAATGAGGAAGTGGAGATAAAAACGCTCCCTTGTTCCAAACGTTATACTAAGAAATACGCAAACTAGACTATGAATGCTCCATAATCTATAACTATAACGATGCACATGCGACGTATTGTGCCACCATGTACCTAACAAACACATGTTTGTATCACGCACTACTGTGCGCACCACTGTATATTTCACGATATAACGTCACTGTATGTTTTATGATATAAATTTACTGTATGTTGCACAATGTATTACACAGTAGGTTTCACGTATGTAGCACTCAATGTCATGCCATGTTCACCAGTATGTTACCAGTCATCCGTACGATGCACTAACTCACATATTTTAACTGCATATTTCTACGTTTGTTGTTTTAAGCACTGAGCGACGTGAAAACGAAATCGGCCTACGAGGAGGCACAGCAACAACAAAGTGACGTGGAAGGAGCGTGCGGAGCTGCCAACCCCTTAGCCGCTCTATGTACCGCCTCAATTACCACCAATGGCCTGGATTCCAACACAGAAGGCGAGCGGCGCACCCTTTCTCCCAAGGCCCCGACTCATCTATCCGGGTCACCAAACACCAACGCAGCTACACCACCTGGCGGCGTTCATGGAGAATGTGCGACGGCACAGGGACAACAAACCCGGGATGGACTGTCGTGCACCTCTCGACCATGGGACCACCATAGCTGTGGTCCCCTAGAACTCGCGCCGCTCCCAGGGGTATCCCTGGACAGACAGCAGCGGTCGGTCGACCCAGTACCACACGACGAAGAAGACGACGACGACAGCAAGGACGACGACGAGGAAGACAAATTCTACGCCTGGGACCAGTGACGATGACAACGGACTACCCACGACGACGACGGACAACGGACTACCCACGACGACGACGGACAACGGACTACCCACGATGACGACGGACAACGGACTACCCACGACGACGACGGACAATGGACTACCCACGACGCGACGACGGCCACAGACGGACTACCCACGATGACGACGGACAACGGACTACCCACGACGACGACGGACAATGGACTACCCACGACAACGACGACGAATACGCAGAAATTTTTAGTATTTAGATAATTGAAAATCAAATAAAAATTTTTTATAAAAAAAATAGATATATTAGTTACGTTAGCTAGATAAATGTGTGGGTGATGGGAGCACGAAATAAAATAAAATAAAAATAAACTAACATAAAATGAAATAAAAAATAAATAGAAAATCCGTTTTAAAGTCAACGCATCACAATTTTTATAGAAGTTGTCCGCCGCATTACTACGGCTGCCTGCTTTTTCTGATAGGTGGGGGAGTAATGCAATACAGAAATTGCATCTTGCAAAAGTCTTTGTCTTAAACGGGGCACGTGGGTACCTACGAAACGCCTAGGACGGGTAGCCAATGACAGAGACAGAGATGCGTAATTGGTCAGGGCGTTGGTCATGTCATTGACCAACGACACGAGACGAGGCAGCCAATGAGCGCGAGGGGTGTGCGTCCCGCGTGACCAGGTCTAAGACAATGGAGGCGACGCGCATACTTAAACGTCTGCATCTTTGTTTTGCGCTCTTTACTATTTGCAAACCCGGCTCCATACGTATACATTTACTGTTGCTGTCACCGCTGTTCAAACCACCGTTATATACGTAAGTTGTGTTTTATGCCGCGTACTCTTCTGTTCACGTTTCTGCCTTGTTCATGGGCGTATACGTTAGTTAGTTTATGTTTATTAAAGATGTCGTTACACTCTACATATCGTATATCAATCTTCCGTCGTTTATATACGCATATGGTAGTCATTTAGTAACAACCATATACGCGAACTACTATACGATCATGAGAGAACAAGTAATGATATAACCAGCATTACATGCTTATTATAGTGCATACATAAGTTTGGCTGATAGGGTCTATGTCTCCCTGGGTACTGCCGGAACGTACCCTGGGTACGGTCCGGTATACCGGAACGTACCCTGGTAACTATCTGATATGGTTAGGGTTAGGGTTAGGGTTAGGGTTAAGGAGTAGGCGTAGGCGACTCCCTAGACTCGTTAGTGGAGTAGGCGAGGTACGGCCAGGCATATTAGATAGTACCAGGGTACGTTCCGGTATACCGGACGGTACCCAGGGTACGTTCCGGCAGTACCCACTACCCAGGGAGACATAGATCCTGGCAGCATAAGTTTGTATATGTACAGAGTATGTTCTCATTACAAACGGGTAAATCGCAATGACTGATTGTAAAATACTGATGCATAATATATACATAGTTGTTCAATGTTTCGTTTTTTAACAGAAGCAAAGGATTTTCTAATGCCTGGATGCCAGGCCGTGTATTGACATAATTAGTCTCTCACAGCCTGGTCGGGTTAGGTGTTACGACATACTGACATAGTGTCTGAACGATAGCAATACTATAGGAACCATTTGATTTTGATCATGAAGAAGTTTTTGGCATGACAACAAGAGAAGAACCAGAACAACAACAACAACGACTACGATGACGACGACAACAAAAAAAACAACAACAACGATTACGACGACGACAACAACAACAGATTAAGGAACTGGCTCTACTAGTAATTACTAGTATCGCATGTCGGGGTACAATAATTCCAAACGAAGCACATACCCTCTGCGTGTGTACACGAACGGCGTACCACCTAATTTCGACGTGGATGAACGTTGTTCGCTGTCACTATGGTCGATGTTCCCAGAAAATGATGGGAAAATCTTCCCAAACATGCGTGCTCCACTATTTCCCATTTTTGCGAAGGATTTCCCAATAAATGACGAAATTATTTCAACAGTATAAATTTGTACTTATTTTGTGGGAGCTGCCATTTTTACATACGGGTATGTTAGAGTGTCATAGTCAATAAGGACCGCCGTAAGTTCCAACACATTCATAATACCAGGAGTTAATGAAGACAAACTTGTTTCAACAAAGTTTGTCTTGATTAATTCGTGATAATACGTACATTCTTGTCCATATAAAAAAATTTAGGCAGCAAACATTGGCTATATAAATATTCACGAGGTACCATAGCCCTCTGAAATCATATAGAATTTGAGAAGTATGTACTGTAAATCCAAACTAAACATAACAAGTTGCGCACATTAGTGTGAACAACTCTCCACGGAGTAAAGAATTTTTGGAATTCCATATGTATTTCATCTCATTCCCCGCGAATAATTAATTGATCACGTGGTGCTTTCACGCAATGACGCTGCAAAATCTGTAATTGTGTTCTTCTCTTGCACTTCCCTTTCTTGCTCTTCCCACCCGCTCTCTTACCCCTTCTTTCTCTCCTTTCTTTCTCCGCCTCTCCGCTCTCACTCTCTCTCTCTCTCAAATATTTTGCATAATTTTCAGGCTAAAATCAGTGTTCGCGCATGCGTAATATCTCTCGAGAGGAATCATATTTTGCGAAAATTATTTAATTAAAATTGAACTGGAAGAAACTGGGGAAGTTTTATCGGGGAAGAAACTGGTCATTAATGTGGCCGCGGCAGATACTTGTGGATACCGTCTGTTGGCTGACCAATACCTAAACCTGGTTTACCTAAATTATATCCGAATTAACCAAATATTTTAACACGATTGTACCAAATCTTTTTTTTCTATTTGTACTTAAATGTTATCTAAATTATACCTGCTTTCATGGCCTGGTATTTGTATCACGATTATGCTAATATTTTATGCTCTTTGTGTCAAGATTTCATGCTAATAATAATTATGATTTGATGCCAGCAGTTATTATGTTATGTTAAGTTGGAATGTTAGATTGTGTTAGAATGTTATGTCTATTAATTGCTCATAATTCGATCTCTTGCCAATTTCTTAATTTGAAGCATAGCGTTACAATATCTATACAGAAATATAAGCCTATTTGTGGCAGAATGTTGTTTAACTTGAATCTTGGCAGGTTAAAACTAATAGTATTTTCACGTTGTGCTCATAGCGTATGCATGTATTCCGTTATCGCCTGACTAACGCGCCACTGATGCCGTTATTTATCTCTGGTCTGACATATCGATTTGCACGATCGCTGCTTAGTCTTCTACCGTAATAACTAATCATAAGTAATAACGGACTTTGTCCACACAAAAGACATTCTGCCATAAAAAATGTCTGTATATAAGTATGTATATAAAGCATAATGCACGTGAAAATTAGTCTGAGTGGGAAGATTGGAAGAGTTGGAGAAAGAGGGAAAAGAGGGGCAACGACGGAGGAGGCAAAGAAAGAGGCAGAGGAAGAGGGGCGAAGAAAGAGAGGCAAAACAAGAAGAAGAAGAAGAAGATGAGGAGGAGGAGAAGGAGGAGGAGGAGGAAGAGGGGGAGGAGGAGGAGGAGGAGGAGGAAGGGGAGAAGGAGGAGAAGGAGGAGGAAGAGGAGGAGGAGGAAGGGAGGAGGAGGACCGTCCTCGCCTATCCACTAACGAGTCTAGGAGTCGCCTACGCCTACTCCCTAACCCTAACCCTAACCCTAACCATATCAGATAGTTACCAGCGGTACGTTCGCGTATACCGGACCGTACCCAGGGTACGTTCCGGCAGTACCAGGGAGACATAGAACCTATCAGCCAACCTTATATATGCCCTATAATAAGCATGTAATGCTGGTTATATCAATTACCTTGTTCTCTCATGATCGTATAGTGGTTCGCGTATATGGTTGTTACTAAATGACTACATATGCGATATATAAACGAAGAAAGATTGATATACGATATACGCAGAGTGTAACGACATCTTTATAAACATAAACTAACTAACGTATACGCCCATAAACAAGGTAGAAACGTGAACAGAAGAGTACGCGGCATAAAACATAACTTACGTATATAACGGTGGTTTGAACAGCGGTGACAGCAACAGTAAATGTATACGTATGAGCCGGGTTTGCAAATAGTAAGAGCGCAAAACAAAGATGCAGCCGTTTAAGTATGCGCGTCGTTCTCCATTGTCTTAGACCTGGTCACGCGGACAACAA